ACTTTAAAAACCATTATGTCTATATAAGGTTTATCCCAGGAAAGAAAAGATGGTTTAACATTAGAAAGTTTATGATTATATTGTAACATAGAAATACATTAAGAGAAAAACTGTGGTCTTTTCTAGATAAGTGGAAAACATGATATATTGTTTTAGAAAAATTCTTCGCAAATTAGGAATATAGGGAAAGGATTTTCTAAATATAACAAATGTTACATATTTAGAATGACCTTTCTAAATACATAAAAAGATGAATGAATGAATTAAAAAAGATTCATAACTAATGGTGAAATGGTAAAAGCATTCCACAATGTTTATCTTTAGCATTCTACTGGAGGTCCTAATACATATATAAGATAAAAGCTATAATAGTAATAATGAATGAGATTCAGAATTAAGAATTTATTTATTTATTTGGAGAGAGAGAGCAAGAAAGTGAGACAGCAAGGCATCAGGTCTGGGACTTCAACCAGAAAATTCAAATTTCTGTTTTGTCAGCGATAGGATTAGCTACATGTAAGGTCCAACGCTGCTGACAGACTACTAGAACTAACGAACGTTATCAAGGTTCTTGGATAGAAGAATAATATTTAAAAATGATTTCTATAGACTGTCAGTACACAATTAGAAACTATGTTAGGGAGAATCCTGTTTACTACACTAATAAATCATTAGTATATCTAAAATAAATTTAACAAAATATGTGTGAAAGACCTTAAGCCAAAGCTTGACCAAAATTATAAAGCTTTACTGAAAGGCAGAATACAAATTGTAAATAAGTAAAGAAAATGAATCATATTCATGAATGGAAGGGCTCAATAGTCCTAACAAGCCCAATTCTTAAATTACTGTGTAAATGAAAGGAAATATCATCAATTATTTTTTGCGAGGTTTTGGCTATAGGGTGTATGTGCTTGCCAGAAAGACAGAGAGAGACAGAGAGACAGAAAGGGAGAAATCACCCCGTCAAGCGGGATGGCCATGTTGCGATCCCTTCTCCTCCATTTTCCTCTTGGGATCTTGGGCACGATGTACACATGCCCAGCATGAGTTTAAGCCAATAGGTCTGGCACTTGAACCGCAGTCAACTACATGGAAATCCAGCAACATAGCCATTATGCCAATTGCCGGTCCCGAAATATCATCAAAATTTTATGGAACTTGGTCAGCTCTATGTAAAATATTTTGGGACCAGCAGTTAGCGTAATGGCTATGTCGCTGGACTTCCATGTAGTCTACTGCGGTTTGCGTCCCGGACCTGGTGGCTTAAAACTCATGCCAGGCGCGTGTGCATTGTGCCCAAGATCCCAAGAGGAGAATGGAGGAGAAGGGATTGCGGCGTGGCCATCCCCCCTGGGGGGTTATTTCTCGCTTTCTGTCTCTCTCTCTCTGTCTGTCTGGTGAGCGCATGCACCCTTATAGCAAAAACCTCTCAAAAAAAAAAAAAAAAAAGAACTGATAGTTAAGAAGACTAAAGATACTTTAAGGGACGGTGATAAGAATTGGGGTTACCATACCGAATACTAAGATTTTTTATGGAGGCATATTGGTTAAAATGATATAATATTCTTGTAGAGATGAACACATGCATTGGTAAAATATTGCAGAGAGCCCAGAAACAGATTCTGTATTTCTGGAGTCTGTTAATTATCAGTTAAGAAAGGAAGAGTTATATGGTAGCTCTGGATCAATTGGCTATCTATATGGGAAAATATAAGATTAGAAAACTACAGTAAAATATACATAAAATACATTCCAGATGGGTAAAAGATTTTAAAGTTAGAAGTAACTTTACAGTTTTTAGAAGAAAACATAACATATTTTCTTTTCTATAACAAGATAGGGCAAGATTTCTTAAATAACACAAAAAAGCCTATTTTAGAAGAAATAACTGGGACCAGCAGGTGGCATAATGGGTTCATCGCTGGACTCCCATGTAGTTGACTATGATTTGAGTCCTGGACATGGCATCTTAAAACTCACACTGGGTGTGTATGTGTGCGTGCCCACACATACACATGCCCTATACATAAATCTCTCTCTTAAAAAAAAGAAAAAATAAATAACTAATGAAATTGACTACTTTTTAAACATGAAGTGAATAATATATTGACTACTTTAAAAAGAAAACATTCTGTTTATCAAAAAAAAGGTGTCACAAAAAGAGTGAAAAAGCAAATTACATCACATAAACCTACAGGTATAAAATAAAAAGAGGCAAATTAATAGGGAAGTGATTAGAGGAAACTAATAGACAATTTGGAGAGGATAAGTGACAAATAAACATAAAAGATTATGGCTAATATCTGTAGAAATGACAAAAATACAAATTAAAACAGTAGCCATTAAGCTGGTAAACATTTTTAAAGTCTTAAAATTAATTGTAATAGAGGATATGAGAAATAGATTTAATACTCTGGAGGCATTAATATTCGTTGATATTAGTACTTTGGAGAGCAACTTGGCAATAATGAAACTGAAGATGTTTATATATAGCATAGCAATCTCTACTGCATGTATATATCCTAATGCCTTGTACTTTTAAGGCTGCTCACTGCAGGATCATTTGTAATAGAGCAAAAACAGAAAACTGTATGACTGACCATGAATAGGAGAATGATCAAAGTAAACTGTGGAATATTCATGGAAAAATCTCAAATGTTTAGTAAGAACACAAATTGCAAAATGATGCATATAAACACCACCAAGCTCAATCATAAATAAAGAAAATAAACTAGCAAGTAAAAAGTACCATTTACAGGCACTTTCCATTTCTATCCCACCCCTCAACAACCACTACTTTACTCTGTCTTTACACATTTGTCTTTTGGGACATTTAATATAAATAAAATCATACAATATGTACACATTGTGTCTGTTTTCTCTTCCCCAAACATTGTTTTGTTTTGTTTTGTTTTTAGGTTTGGCCATGTTGTAGCAATTATTGCTACTTTGTTCCTTTTAATACTGGTTATATCTCATTTCATTGATCAGTTCACCAATTGATGAACATGTAGATTGCCTCCACTTTTTAACTATTGTGAAAAATGCACTCTGAATATGCATGTATAAGTTTTCATGTGGACATTTTTGTTTTCTTTTTAGGGAGTGCAGTATTGCTGGGTTATATGTTAAGTTTATGTTTTACTTTTTGAGAAACTACTAAACTGTTTTCCTAGCATCTAAGCCATTTTAAATCTCCACCAAAAATGCATAAGGGTTCAATTTTTTTCACATTCTTATCATCAACTTACTATCTCTGTCTTATTTATTTTAGCATCAACTTACTGTCTCTGTCTTGTTTATTTTAGCTGTGTTAGCTATTCTATCTTGTATCTCATTGTGACTCAGATTTGCATTTCTGTAATATCTAATGATGTTGAACATTTTTATCTTTTTGTCACTTGTATATCTTCTTTGCATAATGTCTATTCAAATCCGTTCCCCTTTTGGAGGGCATATTTATCTTTTGATTATTGAGTTATAAGAAGTCTTTAAGAATTTTGGATACAAGTTCTTCATTTTCATATGACTCAAAAATATTTTGTCATGTTCTGTGGGTTATATTTTTACTTTATAGTGTTTCTGAAGAGCAAACCTTTTTAATTTTAAATAAACCTCATTTATAATTTTTTAATCATTTGCATTTTCAAGTTAAAGAACAAATAATTTAACTCAAGATGTGAAGAGTTGCTATTTATTTTTAGCTTTTATTTGTAGGTCTGTGATCCATCTTGAGTTTGTTTGTTTGCTCATTTTTAGCTTTTCCCATAGGGTACATATGGTTACTGAGAAGAGAGAACAAGAGAGAGAAAGAGAGAAAGAAAATGAGAAATCACCCCTCAAAGGGGATGGCCATGCCACAATCCCTTTCTCTAACATTCTTCTCTTGGGATTTTGGGAAGGCACACACACTTACTCAGCATATTTTCCAAGCTACTGGGTCCAGGATTTGAACCATGCACTCAGCTATGTGGGATCTGGCTGCCTTCACCACCATACCACCTGACTGACCTGAGTATTTTTGTGCATAATATGAAATTAGGGGTCCATATTTACTTTTTTTCACACCCAGAACATCCATTGTAATAGTCCCAGAAACCATTTGTTGAAAGATATTATTTCCCCTTGAACTTTCTGGAAGCTAACTATAAATATAAGGACTTATTTCTGGAATTTCAGTTCTATTTTATTCATCTATATATTTATACTTATGCCAATATTCAATCTGTCTTAATTATTGTAGCTTTGTAGTTATTTTTGAAATTGAGAAATATAAGTACTGCAACTTTGTTCTTTCTCAAGTTTATTTGGGTACATTTCCTTTTCATAGGATTGTCAATTTGTAAAAAAAAAAAAAGTTAGCTGAGATTTTGGAATTGCATTGTATTGAACCCAAAGATGAATTCGGGGAATATGTACACTTATTTCATTGTATTCAGTATACAAGTCTTGCAATATTTACACTAAATTAATTTCAAATATTTTTTTCTTCTTAATACTATTAAGAATGGAATTGTTTGCTTAATTTTGTTTTCACTGCTAGAGTATGAATGCCATTGATTTTTGTATATTGATCTCATATGAACATACTAACCTTATTTATTAGTTTTGATATATTTTCAGTGGATTCTTCAAGATTTCCTATACATAAGATTATGTTTTCTGTATATAGAGACTATTTTACTTCTTCCTTATCAATCTGTAACCCATTAATTTTCTTGTGTAATTGCTCTGGCTAGAAGATCCTGTACAAAGAGAAGACCTCATTATCTTATTATGATGTTGGGAGAAAGTATTGTTATTTTTTTTTTCATTAAGCATGATGTTGGTAAAATTTTTTCAAAGATTTCCTTTATCATATTAAGCTATTTCCCACCTATACCCAGTTTGTGGAGGGTTTTTATTATGAGTGTTGAATTTAATCAATTGCTTGTTCTGCTTCTATTGAAATAATTATGTATTTTTTGACTGTATTAATGTGACCTTTTTTATTCTAGACTTTGAGTTTTGCTTGTGAAGCCTGCAGAAAGGTTATATTTAATGTACCTTCTAAACTAGAGGCAGACAAAGTGGTTGGCAGAGGTGAGAAATTTCAAAAAAATCTTTTAAAAACAGAAATTTAATTTACCTTGCCTGAAAAGTTCATGATATACCATCTTTGCCTTGGGAATTAACCTGAATCTATTTATAAGTAGAAACAATTTAAAATAATTTAAACATGTTTTTTGCTCTTTGTAACTCCACTGAATTCTGTAGTTCACTCTAGTGTAAATATTCTAATGTATATTCTTTTTTATTGGAAATGTTTTTGCTATAGGGCACGTACGCTGGCCAGAAAGACAGAGACAGAGAGATAGAAAGTGAGAAGAGAAATCACCACCCAGGGGGGATGGCCAGGTCATAACCCCTTCTCCTCCATTCTCCTCTCGGGATCTTGGGCATGCACACACATGCACCCGGCGTAAGTTTAAGCCACCTGGTCCGGGACTTGAACCGCAGTTGGCTACATGGGAGTTCAGCGACATAGCCATTACGCTAACTGCTGGTCCCTTTAATGCATATTCTTATAGTTATTTATGTTTTAGCAGTTTAATAATTATAAAAATATTTAATCATAAAATAGCACTTCATTACAAGATTATTTTTTAAAAATAATTTTATTTTATTTATTATTATTATTTTAATTTGCTACATGGGCAAGGCTCACCAGATGCACACACACACACACACAGAGACAGAGAGAGAGAGAGAGAGCCATCAGGTTCAGGACTCGAACTGCAGTTGGCCATGTGGGAGTCCAGGGCCTTAACCACCATGATACCTGCTGGCTCCTCATTAACTAAGAGTCTAAGCATTAGAGGAATATAGATAAGGATTTAGGAGAAAGAGAGCAGAATTTTTATCAGTGCTTTAGTTGCATTTAGGAACATAACATTCCATTCAAAGCTGAACTTAGCGTTATGAACCTGAGCACTGAGACACCGGGGAACCTCCAACTTCCCCTACAGCTGGAAAGCTGTGCACATGTGGGCTTTCTATGCAGGCACATGGAAGGGGATATCAGAGGAAGCATTATTATTATTTTTTTAAAATCTTGTTCCAGAGATTTGAAATTTACTTTTTCAATAATAATCTCAGTTCTGTTTAAAGTGCATTTCATTTTATTAAGCAAATGTCACATTTCTTCCTATTGGGAGGAAGAAAGTTTGTAAGAAGTCAGGAGTATTCTTTCAGAGGACTAGACCAGAAGTTATCATTCTGATAAAAATGTGAATATGAGAGAAATATATCATCATTTCTAAAGTGGTTCACTTCTTTTTGGCTAAATGCTTCTATCTGGGTCATATTTGTTTTAAAGTAAAAATACTGTACAGGTGTAGCATATGAATCCTTTGAAAGGCAATTACTTAAATGGACATTAATTTATCAGTTTGGTTTCCATTAAGGCAGACAACAGAAGAATGGAATAAAAGACAGGAGCATTTTGGTACTTGTTTTTTATTACCTTTTACTAGAAGGCAAAATTTCCTGACAGGGAAGACCATTTTTCTGTCTTAGTGGGGTAGAAAGCTGAGATAACATGAAGAATCATGAGTTTAAGGGAGAAGATATAGGAAACATATCCATGGGAGCAATTCAAAGACTGATGTTTCTTACTTGGCGTTTGCCCTAGCTCATAGAGTCCACTGATCTTTGGGTTCATGTGTGTAAGTTCTGGCTGAAAATAGGAATATCTTAAAAGATTCAAACTTAATTGTTAAGGAAAATTTTCTTCTTGTTAATTGCAGGAGTGTGAGAGGGCATGTAGTTCAGCTTTGTCATGATTGTAATATGCACACCTCTTTAATCTGAAGATCATTCTCACAAACCTATTGGATGTGTATAAAGACTTAAATATACAATCAAGAATTATTGGGACCAGCAGTTAGTGTAATGGCTATGTCGCTGGACTCCCACGTAGTCGACCGTGGTTTGAGTCCTGGACCTGGAGGCTTAAACTCACGCTGGGCACGTGTGCATGCGTGCCCAAGATCCCAAGAGGAGCATGGAGGAAAAGGGATTGCGGGATGGCCATCGCCCCTGGGGCGTGATTTCTCACTTTCTGTCTCTCTGTCTCTCTCTGGTGAGTGCACCATGCCCTATGGCAAAAAAAAAAAGAATTATTACTATTATTTCAAAGTTTATTTCTTTATTTTCCCCAAGAGCTAGAGGCAGGAAAGGGGGGGGGGAAAGAGAGAGAGAGACCCAACAGGTTTTTCATGCCACAATCCATTCCCATCTTCAGTCAGTCAGAACTATGGTCACTCATGCATATATCCAGTATGCAAAGGGAGGCCTTGGTTGCAAAGCTAAGACCTTCCATGTGGGTTCAGCATCTTAGAGTGTTGTGTTACCACTGAGCCACTGGCAAGCCCAAGAATTTATTTTTTTAACTGAAAGAAAATTATCATTTTTGAATAATGTAAAAATACAAGCTAAGATGCTTGGTAAATGCAGTGATGGATTTCTTTCATTCATTCCACTTCATGAATTTTTTTTTTTTTTTTTTGCAGAGGTTTTTGCTATAGGGCGCGTGCACTCGCCAGACAGAAAGAGAGCGTCAGAGAGACAGAAAGCGAGAAATCACCCCCCAGAGGGGATGGTCATGCCGCAATCCCTTCTCCTCCAATCTCCTCTTGGGATCTTGGGTACACACACACATGCGCCCAGCATGAGTTTTAAGCCACCGGGTCTGGGATGCGAACTGCGGTCGACTTCGTGGGAGTCCAGCGACATAGCCATTACGCTAACTGCTGGTTCCCATTCTACTTCATGGTTTTGAGGAAGATTATTTGTTAACAGCTTTGTGTGTGTATACGAGTGTGTGTGTATGTGTGTGTGCAATTCTACGTTATAATTTGGAAATTTTTACTTGCAGTTAATTTGAAAGAGTGCCTCAGGTCTGCAGACCTCATCCAGTCAAGTGATCCTGATTTCAGAGTTCTAGGTGATGGGTTAGTATACACTACCCATGCTGTTGTGTTTTCTGAGGAGAAAAGGACCTTCATCATATCGCTTTCTGACACGAAGAAGCAGACTCAGAAAGAGATTAATGTGCTCCTGGAACATCAGAAGAAGGTATTCAAAGTACATTGAATATTTGAAGGCATGATTCTTTTATTTTTGGAGAAGCTTTTGCTATAGGGCGAGTGTACTTGCCAGAAAGACAGAGAGAGACCGAGAGACAGAAAGCGAGAAATCACCCCTCAGGAAGGGATGGCTACACTGCTATTCCTTCTCCTCCATTTTCCTCTCAGGATCTTAGGCATGCACGCACATACACCTGGCATGAGTTTAAGTCACTGGGTTCAGGACTTGAACTGCGGTCGACTACATGGGAGTCCAGCAACATAGCCATTACACCAACTCTTGCTTCCAAGGCATGTTTTTCTTGTCATTGAACTAGTCTCATTAAAAACTGCACAAAAGACCAAAGTATAAACAGGATCTTTCTTTTTCATTCCTTTCCCCTCCCTTCCCTTCTCCTCATTCTCTCTTCCTCTTCCCAGCCCCCCATTTGTTTCTCTATTTGTTAACCCTGGTTAAAATCTGGTTTTACTTTGTTAATTATAAATGATACCTTCACTATGAAGGTTTCTCCCACCTCTAAATTTTAACTAATGACTTTTGTGTGCCAGTGTCAGAATGGTTACCTCTTTATTACAACATTCAGAATTTTTTGTCAGTGCAAACATCAAAGAAGAATCTCACTATGAAAGTAGTGACCAAAAAAGTACAAAAGTAGTGGTGAAAGATTTAGACTGGATCACGCTTAATCTATAATAGCTATGTTAATGACAAAGCTAATTTAAATGCTCATTTAGCACTTTATCACATGTTTAATGGAATTATTTATTAAGTAATTCTCACTAAGTAAAGCATCTCCCTGGCTATATCATGAAATGAGATAGACAAGGCTAAAAGTCCACTAGTGGGGACAATCAGTGGTGCGGTGGTAAAATACAATGCTGTGAGTGGCTGACCCACAGAGAAGGTTCTGGGCTCACATCCAGAGACCTCCCTGAGGATGCCAGGTGCACTTTGGCCCACAATCTGAGACTAACTAAAACTGAGGTGGGTCATGGCCAGAAGACTCTGTTGGAGTGCTGTCTCTCTGTCTCTGTTTCTCTGTCTGTCTCCGTATTACTCACAGAAGAAACAAATTAACTAGAAAGAAGTCCATTATAACTTTTTCCGATTTTAGAGGTGTTCTCCAGTCTGCACTGTCTGAGATTATAGTCCCGTACTAATGGCTTCTAAAACACATGGCATGTGGCTAATGTGACCGAAAGATAGAACTTTTTATTTTGTTTAATTCTAGTTAATGTAAATGTAAATAATCACATGGCTGCTGGTGGTTATGACTACTATATTGAACAGTACAAATAGAGTGCTAAGGTAGTAAAAAATAAGCATTTCCGATTCTCCTGATAGTATGAGATTTTAACAGCAAGAACAAGGAAGTACTGTTTAGAGATTGTTACAGAGAACATGTGTTCTCTATCTTTATTTGGGACAGAGCAAGAGAACTAAGGGTATAGTAATGATTTTCCTAACCTGAAAGTATGGTCAGTGTTAGATATACAACAGGAAATTCCTTCATTTATGAAACGTTGAAATCTGAGTACATTATTTGATCCCCTTCTAATGCAAAATGACTGTATCAACTGGTTTAGCTTCAGCATGAAAAGTTCTGAGGATGAACTTATGATAAGGCTTTAGATTTATGGGTTATTCACTAGTTTGTGATAAAATAGACTGTGATGCTTTTGCTTATTTATTTTTTTTTTTCTAAATCTAGGTATTAAAGAAAAGACATGCTAAAGAAACTGTTCTTAGGCGTGCCAAGAGGAGATGGGCACCTATTCCTTGCTCAATGCAAGAGAATTCGTTGGGACCTTTTCCTTTGTTTCTGCAACAAGTAGGTTTTACATTCCTTCTGACTGGGAGTGCTGTCATTCTAAGAGTGTTTTATTCAGGTTTAATAAGTTTGTTAACATTTGAAAGTAAACAGGTGAAATTGAAGCGCAAGTAAAATGGAAAAAAAGACAAGCACTGAAAAGCTAATAACAAATATGAGACTCTACAGCCATTGAATAATCTATCATTCAATAATAGATGGTTATTGAGCTATATAGCTTGTGGAAGCCACTGCTGTAGATACTAAAGACAGAAAACAATTTATTCATGACCCTTGGTCTCATGCAGTTTATTAGCTTCATGAAGAAGGTCAAGTGGGCAAATGATTGTGTTAGTGGCAAGGGCTATACTAAAGTTGTCATAGGGATGATCTGGTAATGAGATAAACACCGACCCCTGATACAGATGGTAAAATATGAGAAAAGGCTTAGAGGAAGAAGCACCTGAATTGAGTGCTGCAGGATGGGAAAGCTTTGTACAGGTAAATAATTTTGGAAAAGAGGGAAATACAGAAGTGAGAGTAAGTGCGGCTGTTCAGAGGCACTCTGGGCAGCTTAATCTTCCGAAGTACAATGTGGTTGGAATCAAGAGATGAGGCAGAAGATATAGACAGGGATAAAACCTTTATGGGTTTTATGTCCTACTGGAAAATGTAACTTATTCCAAAAATAATGAGATATTTTAGGCAGTTTAATAAAATGATCAGGTTTGCTTTTCATTAAGAGCAGACATCATGAAAACAGTAAGTGGAATAGGGCTATGGCTTTGTGGTTCTTTTCCCCCTTAAACTTCTATTACTTTATTGTTCTTTAATATTGGTGGCGGGATCTTTGTACCACTTGTTGAAGTTTTAGCTCTCTCTCCAGAGTCTTACACATTTATTTTTCATGTTATCCACTACTATAGTCCTTTTTCTTCTTTGTGAATATTGTAATTTAAATGCTGGTAAGGCATATTCCAAATGATTTCTGATTGTCAAAGTTGTACTAGTCAGAGGTAATTTTAGTTTTTGCATGGCTAAATAAGTCACCATGTCTCAGTCTTCATTTTCTTGACATAAGTGCATGCGATACAGCTAACTTTTCTTGAATACTTTCTTCACTTCACTTCTGTGATTCAGGTAGTTTTGGGCTTTCCACATTGCCCATGACTTAGTATGTTCTTTCTAGTTCTTCCTTATTCCCTACCCCCCACCAAGGCCTTAAACTTTGGAGGGCTTCAGGGGCCAATTCATCCACCTTTTCTCTTGTTTATTTACATACAGTCTTCTGGTGATCTCATCCAATGTCTTGATTCTAAGTACTACTTATACAGAAGATACTTGCAACTTCATATTTCCAGCCCAAACTGCTAATGGATATTACCACTGGGAAGTTTAATAGACATCACAAACTTAAAATATACAAATCAAATGTTTGCTTTTCTCCTTAAAGCACTCTTCCATCTTGGAAGCAGTTTAATCCTTCTTGTGTATGCATTGAAATCGTTTTGTAAGTTTTTGGTTATAGAGAGAATATGTATAAGGAGTTAATAGCTAGCTACACTATGGGGCCTGCAACTAAGGGACATACTGCTTTCTCTGTGGTGGAGAAGACACTGATTCTAGAGGCAAGGTTCCACTGCCACAGTCTGGAAAGCATGGTCAGACAGCTGCTCCTCTCCACGCAGCTTCAGAACAATTTCTGAACTGCTCCCACAAATGTCAGAAAATGATTGGCCTATAACGTGTCTCTCAACATCCACAAAGCTGGGAAATAATGACTATAACTTCTGCTGCTGCAGGGGGGAAAAAAGGAAAAAAAAACAAGAACTTAAGAAAACATATGTGTCTACACTGTGATGACAGTAAAAACAGCCAAGTCAACAAAAATGAGCCATATACCTTATGTATGTTTTCCAGATCTCATACAAGCATGTGGTTTTATGCATTTAAACCCAAAACTCTGGTATCAAGAGATTCTGGAAAATAAAGGGTTTGGTTTGTTTCTGTTTGAAATTTTCAGGCATCTGCTAGGAGAGGATACCATAGAAGGGGGATGAAATAGATATGGAACCCAATTTGCAATGTGCATTCATTGTTCCCAGAGGTTAAAACAAAAACAAAAACAAAAACAAAATTTTTTAATTCCTGAGTTATTACAGCCTTTTGAAATAGCTACATTTTACCAAGATCCCAAAAAATAGTAGTTTAAGAAAGTTACAGATTTATTTATTTCCTGTAAAGTATGATAAAGCAGGTTTTTTTTTCTCGTAAAGTATGATAAAAAAGGGTTTTTTTTTGTTGTTTTTTTTTTTTTTTGAGAGATTTTTGCTATAGGGCGCTTGCACTCGCCAGACAGACAGAGACATAGAGACAGAAAGTGAAAAATCCCCCCCCAGGGGGGATATGGTCACGCCGCAATCCCTTCTCCTCCATTCTCCTCTCGGGATCTTGGGCATGCACGCACACGTGCCTGGCATGAGTTTTAAGCCACTGGGTCCGGGACGCGAACCGCAATTGACTACGTGGGAGTCCAGTGACATAGCCATTACGCTAACTGCTGGTTCCCTGATAAAGCAGTTTTAATAAGAGGTAACACTTGGTACCCATGGTGTGTGTGTGTGTGTGTTTTGCTTGTTTGTTTGTTTTCTTTTTGTTTTATTTTATCTTAGCTATCCATGCAAGATCAAGCTGACTCATCACTATGTCCAAAAAGGGAGAATACACTCCTTTATCCCCTGAAGCACAATCTGGATCTTGCCCTTGTTACTTTCGTTCACAACTCATTGACTTGATCTTTTCATGTGAGCATACCTAGTTGCAAAAGGGACCAAGAAATGCCTTTCTTCTGGGCCACGCTGTGCTTCACTCAGCCACGAATTCTAACACTGAGGAAGATGGACAGCATAGATACAGTATTCAGAGACATGGTAGCATAGATTTCAAAACTTTTGCACCCAAATAAACTTGTACTTTAATTCCACTTTTCTATGAACTTTTTGACGTCCCTTGTAATATCGCCCTCTGATCTAGACTTTGGCTTCTGCTTTTTTACCACACATTGAATTCATCAGTAAATTCAATTGACTATACTTTTAAATTATGTCCAAAATCTAATCACTTCTTATCACCCCTACTGTTACTGTGTTTATCTAACAAACTATCAGCTCCACCCTGGATCTGCATTAACTTTGTAAATGGTCTCCCAGCTTCTTTCCTCACACATTCCCAAAGTTTAATCTTAACAAAACAATAAACATTGCTCTTTAAAGATATAAATCAGGGGACCATTACGCAGTTAGCGTAATGGCTATGTTGCTGGACTCTCACGTAGTCAACCATGGTTCCAGTCCCAGACCCGGTGGCTTAAACTCACGCCAGGCACGTGTGTGTGTGTGCCCAAGATCCCGAGAGGAGAATGGAGAAGGGATTGCAGCATGGCCATCCCCTCTAGGGAGTGATTTCTCACTTTCTATCTCTCTGTCTCTCTCTGTCTGTCTGGCGAGCGCACATACCCTATAGCAAAAACCTCTCAAAAAAAAAAAAAAAAGAAAGAAAGAAAAAGAAAAAGAAAAGATATAAATCAGATGATATTACTCTTGTCTAAATTCTCCAGTAGCTCATTATCCTTGATTCCAAGGAAAAACTTGTCCTTGGAATCACTGACATGTGGCCCCTATTACCTCATTATTATTATTTTTTTTTTGAGAGATTTATGCTATAGGTATGTTCTCTTGCTGGAGAGATAGAAACAGAAAGTGAGAAATCACCCCTCCCCCCAGTGGGATATGACCATGCTGCAATCACTTCTCCATTCTCCTCTCGGGATTTTAGGCACACATGTACCCAACATGAGTTTCAAGCCACCCAGTCTGGGACTTAAACCATGGTCAGCCGTGTGGGAGTCCAGCGAACTAGCCATTATGCCATTTGCTGGTCCACTCTCCCTAACCCCCCATTATTTCTTCAGTGACCTTCTTGCTTCTCATGGAACATTCTGGGCATCATTTTAGCCTGGTTTTCATGTACTTCCTACTTCTTATTCATTCCTGTTTATTCTCCTAGCTCATTCTTTTTATTTTTGTCAGTTCCTCTCCCTAAGGTGCGTTCTAATTGGCACTGTCCTCATCTAGTATATGAAAGTCCAGGTTTGCTTCGCTGTTGCAGTAATGGGTATTATTGTTCTTTTCTATCTTTTCTATTGAAATCATCTCTTAAATGAAATCCATGTTGGGTGCCAGGTGGTGGTAGAGCAGTAAAATGCATTGCTCTGCAAGGTCAGCGTACATGGAAACGTTGCCATTTTGGGTCCAGAGATCTCTCCAAGTACATCAGGCATGCGCAATCCATGACTGGCCAAGGCTTGGAGTGGATTATGATGTCAAAATCCTATTGGGGGTACTTGTCTCTTTTCTCTTTGTGTCTCATGGAAATGAATGCATAAGCTACAAAAGTTTAAAATAAAATATGTGTATATAAGCACTACAACTGTAGTTCAAAAAATAACATTTAGTTGAATTTAATTTTAATATTTTTTGCATTTGTCACCCCCTTTTAGGTTCAATCTGATGCAGCACAGAACTACACTGTCTTCTACTCAATAAGTGGGCGAGGAGTTGACCAAGAACCTTTAAATTTATTTTTCATAGACAGAAACAGTGGAAATCTATTTTGTACCCGACCTGTGGATCGTGAAGAATATGATGTGTTTGATGTAGGATTTTTATTGATTTATGTGACTTTACATTATTAAGCTCTGTTTCTTTTCATACTCACTCCATCTGCTCTTTCCTGTCTCCTTGCACTCTCTTCTTAGAGGGTATCTTAAAGTCAAAGAAAAATAGAATGTGCAATATTTTGGAACACTTGGTCAGCTTTCTGTCTCAACTTCTGTTAGGTAAGCCTGAAATGAAGCAAACAGATTTTATTGTATTTCACTGTAATTTTCAGTAAATTTCCTGGCATTTCCTTTTGGGAATGAGATACTATCTCTCTGGTTACTGATGCATGCTCCTTTTTGCAAGACATGTCTGCAGTTGTTTGAAAAAGTTCTCTTTTCTACTGTTCTGTCATTTTTGACTTCCTGTGAATTTTTGATCATGTCTGATAACTAGATAAGGAAGCCAAAGTGGGTGACCAGGCCCAAATAAGGGTTATAAGCCAGTGTTTTCAGATGGATGAACTTATAGTCAAAGGGGAATAACTAAAATTTCAATGTAATACAGTCAATACTATGGGGTCATGTGCCACCTTTGTAGTGTAGGGGAAATGATTCCCTATTGGAAAGAGAGATTTTGTTCCTAAATGAAAAGGAAAGACACTGGATAAGTGAATGCCACTGGTAATCTTCCATGTAACATTCTTTTCTTTTGGTTAAGACAAGGTTCAACTCCACGTTGTAATCACATGCTGAATAGAAATATCTTCCATCCAAGAGTCCCCAAACCCTGGCCATGATCAGTGCCAATCTATGCCCTGTTAGGAACTTGGCCATACAGTAGGAGGGGAGTTGTGGGGGAGTGAGTGAAGCTTCATCTGAATTTACAGTCATTTCCCATTGATTGCTTGCATAACCGCCTGAACTCTGTCTTCTGTCAGATCGGCAGTGGCATTAGATTCTCACAGGAGCATGAACTGCACATGCAGGGGATCTAGGTTGCAAGTTCTCATAAACCATTCTTCCCCACTCCTATCTGGAAAAATTGTCCTCCACAAACCCAGACCCTGATGCAGAAGAGATTGGAGACCACTATTCTATTTGACAGTACATTGCCTTTGATTAATTAGCAATGAGGAATTGGTATATTCATTTTGATAGAAAAACTATTAGAAATATGAGAAAAAAACAAACAATAATAGTGCTTGGTAGTGACAAGATAGGGAACTGGCACTTTATTTAGAAGATGTGGTAGGTATTTGCATTGAAGTGAGTTTGTTTTACCCAGTATAACTTTCTGATTATGCAGAGGATAAGAAATATAATAAGAATCTCTATAGTCACATTCAATTTCTCAGTCTAATGAAGAGTCATCCCTGGCTTTGCTACTCTGACTTATGTTTTATTTGAACTGTACCCATTTCCACCAAATAATGAAACTTCTTTGCTTTAAAATATTTCTCTACTTAATGTTTTGATCATTTAAAAAAATGGAAAAAATCTTCAAAGTGGATTAAAGAGAATATTTACAAAAAATATAATAAATAAAGCTTCTTATTCTCTTGCTAGAATATGATATTAATGAACTTGCTTTTTAACTTGCTTTTTCTTCTTTTATAGTTGATTGCCTATGCGTCGACTGCAGATGGGTACTCAGCAGATACACCTCTCCCACTGCCCATCAGAGTAGAGGATGAAAATGACAATGCCCCTGTTTTTACAGAAAAAATTTATAATTTCGAAGTTCTGGAAAGTAGTAGACTTGGTAAGGCTGCTTTTAAGAATGTAACGTGTCCTGTTAATTATGTATGTATCCATTTTTTACAGTAGGCCAGACCATCCAAAGATAAAACTGATATCTACTTACCATAAAGCACTTACTCCCAGCTACTCCAGCCAATATGCGCCTTACCAGATATTACAGGAGTTTTGGTGTTGTCAATGTGTTACTAATGAACTGTTACATAAAGGCAGCTCAGTTAGTCAAGCTCTATACATTTGGATTTTATTTTTTAAATTATGTGGGTTTTTCATTATTTTCTCTGAAAGAGGAGCTACAGAATAAAAACAAAACAAAAGTGAGATATTTTTATGAGGGTTTAGGAAGATGTTGAATGACATTCACTGAGGATACATTTCTAAAGCTCTTATTTATATCATCTCTTAAAGCTATTGCCTCACTATTTCCAATTTAGAATAAAAATTGGAATAAATGTGGAGGAATTTGTGTCACGTTTTTCATCTTAAATACTTGCTCTCACCTGTGAGGGAAAAAAAATTTCAATTTACTTCACTCTTAAATATGGCATTTCTGGTGTCCTCTGAGACTTGCTGATGGCTGTTCAGTGATTTACCCCTTCAACTGCTTATCAATTCACAATAGAGTGGAAAGAATATTGGGGCCAGCAGTTAGCGTAATGGCTATGTCGTTGGACTTCCATGTAGTCAACTGTGGTTCGAGTCCTGGATCCTGTGGCTTAAACTCATGCCGGATGCATGTGCATGCCCAAGATCCCGAGAGGAGAATGGAGGAGAGGGGATTGCGGCGTGGTCATCCCCCCAGGGGGGTGATTTCTTGCTTTCTGTCTCTCTGTCTTGCTGTCTCTCTCTGTCTTGTCTGACTGGTGGGCGCACACGCCCTAGAGCAAAAACCTATCAAAAAAAAAAAGAAAAAAAAAGAATATATGGACTCAATCATAAAGGATGACTTGCTAACTTGCCTACTAAGGTTTCTCACAGTTACTTAGATCTTCACTGCATTATTTTATCTGCTCTGCCCTTTATATTTCACCTCGATAATTTGATGTCATTAATGTTGCCTTCATTAGTCATATGGTACAACTTAAAAAATAAAAACTATTGGTTTGGAGAGTTTAGGAAACTTAGTTTGTATTTTTTAAACAAATTACATTATATGTATTTGAGGTTTACAACATGATATTATGGGATCCACGTAGATGGTAATATGTTGCCATAGTGTAAGAAACTGTTTCTGATGCAGGGTCTGTAATTATTTCATCGTGGGAACTTATGGAAGGTCCTTTGAGTTCTTTTACGTGGAAAGGTGTTAATTACATAGATGACCTATAATGTTTTTAGCTTAACAAGTCTGTGACTCTGCTACATTTTTGCTTGTTCAAAGAAGATGATTAATTTTCAACTCTTTCTTGAGGGTTCTGTTCTCTTCATATGTAACAGAGAAAAATCAATGACAAACACTTTGATACCTAGATTAACTCAGGTTATTTTAAGCACATCACATCCATAGATTCTGAAGAGCAAAGGCTGTAATGCTAAAATGGTGAAAGAGAGTTTAATCAGGGACCTGCAAAAAAGAAAGGAGAGATGGTCTACTAAAGGTCAACTTGATCATCTACACAATTATACTCCAAATCAGTCTTGATTTAGCTATTAGTAAAAAGTTTAATTGAAAAATAATCGGAATTGCTTTAGGGACATGTTTTATCACTCCATCCAGGTTTGTTATTGCAATATGTGGGAATATGTATTGAAATTATTTTTGGTTGCCATTTAGCTACTTTCCGTGATTTATTATCAAGCAGTTTAAGCAAAATGAAAGTACACTTTGATTTCAGCATCAAAGTGTTTCATCTTATGAATTTAAAGTCATTCTTATCAATTTTATATAACATTATATCTTTGATAAGAAATACATTTAAAATTAAGTTCCACCATCATTGTTAATTTTTTAAAAAATGTAAATACTCTCAAATATAGTTGCAATTCTGGAAACTGAAGACTCTTTTTTCCTCTTTTGGTGTGTAGGTACTACAGTGGGGACTGTTTGTGCCACAGACAGAGATGAACCGGACACCATGCACACACGCCTGAAGTACAGCATTTTGGAGCAGACGCCAAGATCACCTGGGCTCTTTTCTGTGAATCCCAGCACAGGCGTGATCACCACAGTCTCTCATTACATGGACAGAGAGGTAGCTTGCTCACTCTGCAGAGTATCATTTTATAAGGGATTGAATCCTCCCCCCTCCATTTACTTTAACCTGTTGTATTATGGATGAAGAGTCTGTATTCTTCAGGCCAGTCAGTGATGTGGTGGTTAAGGTAGATCCTACATGGCCATCTGACTTCATGGTTTGAATCCTGGACCCAACAGCTTGAAAAACACACAGGGTGCCTGTGTGTGCATTCCTAACATCTGGGAGGAGAATGGAGAAGCACCCCTGGGGGGGGGGGATTTTTACTTTTCTTCTTTCTTTGTCTCTCTTCAACAAGTACATGTACTCTAAAGCAAAAACTAAAAATAAATAGATAAATAAAAGAATTCATTATTTTATTTTAGTCGAAGTCTTGGAAACTTTTTTTAATAATATTTTTATTTCTGTATGGTAAAAGAAACCATAAGGATTAGAAATACAGAAAAATCAGTGTTTGGTAGGGCTGAGGAAAAAAGCTATTTTTTTAATGAAAAATGTTATTTTGTTATTTCGAAAAATGTTATTTTTTTAATGCAGAATGTTATTTTGTAGCTTATATTTGACTAATTGCTTTCAGCTCAGCAAAGCTTTCCATTCTCACGTAGAACAATGGATTTTGTTTGTTATATGAGTGTAGATCATATCCTGAATGCTGTCCTGTTATCATAGATACATGAGCTTTTTCTCAGGAAAGAAAATAAAATGGATGAGTTATTAAAAATCTGGATTCATTTTTAGATGATAGTGAAAGCATATTGTCATGTTTATTGCACTTTATGTTCAAATTACTTTCATGTTTTTTTTTATCTTTATAATTTTCTTGTTTTCAGGTGTTATTTATAGAGGAGAAATGTGACAATCGGAAAAATAGGTTGACTTAAGCAACAAAGTCAAATTATCCAGTTCAATGATTTGACTTGTGCAAGACACTGTGAAAGCAAGGGTCTTTTTACTCTGTAAAATACGAAGAATAGAAAAATTAAATGTAAAGTTACACCACTTGTGAAAGGCAGTTGAATGGGATTTTGTGAGGAACAACAATGGAGTGTGTTGTGGAGAATACCACTGGAAGTAAAGAAATGAACAAGAAAGGCCAAGAAATGGTGAATTTAGATGAAGATAAAACAGAGTAGCAAAGTCTGGAAGCCTATGGGAGGGGCAGTTCAATTGGGAACATGATTTTCATTCTGGAAGGGAGATCAAGTAACATGAAGACTGAGGGATAAGATAGAGGGAAAAAAAAGAGGAAATAAAGAAAAATGAGAGAACCAAAGGTATAGCTAAAGAACAGGAAGATTGTATTACAAACAAATGACCATTTCACCACCACCGCACCATGTTTAAATCTTTAGTTTGGAAATTCACAGTGATCTCCAAATCATCACATCCAGCAGTTACCTCATAATCCTGTCTACTGTTGATACTTACTAAAACTCAGCCTTTCCTGGATTTCTGGTTTACTTTCTGCATCTCTGATCTTTCCATTTTAGTGTCCTTTGCCTAGTCTTCTTTCTTCTTTCCCTCATGACTGAAGTACTATTATTCTTTACATCCTTTGCTTTTCTGATCTTATAACCTCTCTTGGAGGTTTTTTCCTGTCATAATTTCACCCACCATCTCCTTACTGATTATTCTCAGGAGAGATCTCAGGATCTCTCCTTTAAGAATGGGGCCATGTATCCAGGCACCTTCTGGACTTTTCTCCTTAGATTTCCCTTAGTCAAATAAAATTCAAGATATGCAAAACAAAACTTATTGTTTTCACCTCACTTTGACAAACCCTGTAGTGTTTTGCATCCTCAGAAAACTGTCTCCCCTTGTTCATTTCCTGTATTAGTTGGTGGTACCCGGTGTGCCTACTTACCCAAGTAGGACCCCTGAGCATTGTACTCAATCTCCTCTTTCTTCATTAACCCTTTAACAAAGAAATTGCTAAAAGTCCTACTTCATTCTAACTCCAAAGTAACTTGCCTGTGACTCTCTCTCTTTGTCATTATTGCTTCTTCTTTACATTTGGACCACTTGTCTATTTAACTGGTTGTTTTGAGTCTCAGGTCAGCAAACTGTAAATTATATTCAACCTTCTTTAAGAATATTCTTTCTCAGGGACCACCTAGTGGTACAGTGGTAATGCAATGATTTGTGATGCTGGACCACATAGGAAGATCCCTGGTTCATATCTCAGGCCCTCTCTCTAGATGCCCACATTAGGCACATACGTATCTTAAGATCTGGGCTGGCTAAGGCTGGGAGTGAATCATGGCATGAAGACCCTTTTGGAGTGCTGTCTCTCTCTCTCGTTCTGTCTTTCTTATTCATGGAAGAATTAAATAAACTTTAAAACATTTCCAAAAAATTGGTTTTAATTTTTTTTAGAGGTTTTTGCTATAGGGCGTGAGCACTCTCCAGACAGAGAGAGAGAGACAGAGACAGAAAGCGAGAAATCACCCCCCAGGGGGGATGGCCATGCCGCAATCCCTTCTCCTCCATTCTCTCGGGATCTTGGGCACGCATGTACACGAGCCCGGTGTGAGTTTAAGCTGCTGGGTCCGGGACTCAAACCACGGTAGACTACATGGGAGTCCGGTGACATAGCTATTACACTAACTGTTGGTCCCAAAAATTGGTTTTAAATTTGAATGTTTTTATTTTGTGCTTTCCCTATGACTCTAATAACCTTTTTGCTAGTATCTGGTTCTTAAAGCATAAGTCTAAATTCTTAGTATAGCTCTTTGTAATTTATCCTCTGTCTGTTTTCAGCTTTATCTGTGTCTATCAAATTCTTAGAGTCCAATGCAAATATGAAAACCAAATAACAGCACGGGTACACACAAATAGAAGCGTGTACAATCAAGGTTTTATTTATAAATCTAAACAAAATATTTTAAGACTAATGGAATGTTTGTTTTCAGGTTGTAGACAAGTACACATTAATAATGAAAGTACAAGACATGGATGGTCAATTTTTTGGATTGATTAGTACATCAACTTGTGTCATAACAGTAAAAGACTCAAATGACAATGCACCTACCTTTAGACAAAACGCTGTAAGTTTATAATATCAATATATAAACTGTTTTGCCTACTGTCATTTGTTATTTAATATGAATTAATAGAATATCATACTTTGAGATCTGTTTATTTTGAGTATAATTAAAATTTAAGCAGGTGATGTATAAATCTATTTTATTTATTCATATTATTATTTATATTATGTCCCTCTTGTTAATGGACTGTAACATTAGAGCCTATTTGTAATAATGTTCTTTCATTTAATAGATAGTCCTTGATGAAACATTTGTGATCATCATTTTAAAGCAATCTGTTTAAAATGATAAGAATAAGCACTTTTGAAGTGGAAAAAACTTACTTACTTTGTAAAACTTCTCCTTTGCATTTTAAATAAGTTTTACATTTTAAGAGTTCTTTCTGTTTCAGTATCAAGCATCAGTAGAGGAAAATGCATACAATGTGGAAATCTTACGAATACCCATAGACGATAAGGATTTAATTAACACTGCCAATTGGAGAGCCAATTTCACCATTTTAAAGGGAAATGAAAATGGGCATTTCAAAATGACTACAGATAAAGAAACTAATGAAGGTGTTCTCTATGTTGTAAAGGTATAGTACCAATGAATAATTGACAACTTGAACAGTTAATAGTTTTAATCAAGTAATGGCTTAGTCAGCTAACTACTTTCAGATTGTAGACTCTACAAGTTGAAAGAGAATTTAAAATGTGTTTAATCCAACTGTTCCCATTTAGTGATCATCTTTCTTTCATTATTTTATTATTAGTTACTAGTCATCTAACATACTAAAACATTCTCAATGATAAGGATCTGCACTAGCAGCTTATGCCATATTTAGAGAACTCTGATTCTCAGAAGTTCTTACTCCTACTGAACCAAGCTTTTCCTCCTTATAAATTACATTTCTGGTCTTGTTTTTATCTCTCATAACTGTACAGACTAGGTATAATCCTCTTTAAAAAGGCTACCATGTCTATGTGAGACTTAACCTTTTTTAGGATAAATGTTCCTAATGCCTTTAAGTACTCCTTACATGACATAATTTAGAACCCCATATCCTTTTTACTTTCTCTCAAATATATGCCTGGATATATGTGATATTTTAAAAGGTGGTATTGAGGATGAAATACAGTATTGCACCAGACAGTGGTGAACAAACTTACTCTTTGTTCTACATGTAATTGGCACAACGAGGATATAATGTAGACAGGATTTGAACCTTTCTCTTTGAATCCAAAAGTACATGCTCTTAACCACTGTGTTAAATTGCTTCTTGTAACCGTGTGATCTTAGAGAGGTAGCCTCTGTATTATCTGTAAATGGAAATAATAATTCTGTTTGTCTCCCTAATTAGCTTTTCAAACACAATAATAAATATGAAAGCACTTAGTAAACTATTAGATTTATTATTTTATTTTTTAAAAGTCATACTATGTTCTCAGAACTAGTCTTATAATTTTTCATAAGAGAGAACTTTTCTGTAACCATAAAGTAGGAGCTGATACAGCCTTGACCTGAGTGCTGGAAAATCTGTGCATCTCAGCGTGTCCTTTCCATTCCAGCTGCAATATGGTACAGATGGACTTGAATGAAGATGGCCTCATTCTTGGTCATGCTCTGATGGAGAGTCCCTAGTTCTACCTCCACAGCAACACATTTTCCTAGGGAGCTGTTAACATCTCAGTGCAGATTTGGCATATTTTTAAATGTTTTCTTTTTAAGTGATGAATCAAAAAATGTACCCTGAGGTGGAAAAGAATTGACATACTTTCATTAATCATTGGAATTTTATCCCACCAGATTTTTAATCTTGTAGATTTTAAGCTATTAAGACTACATCCACCTCAAGCCCTGAAAAATTGCACAAAGTAACTCTGAGGCTTTAGCAAGAGACTCTGGGTCACCCAGTTACACCTCCTCCAGGACTGCAGCTGCTCTCTAAATTCCCAGCTATTTCTTATTGCCATCAATTGCTTCGAATCTCTGCATGATCATAGCAACACATGCAATATGTGAGACAGCACTCATCAGTTATCAAATAAATAGATTTTAGTTCTTTTTCCCTCTTGGTTTTCTAGTTTCTGGGCTATTCATAAAAAATAAAAAGAGTTTCATATATATGTTTTTGGATTCTAAAATTTAGAAATTAGCTTGACCATGTTAGTGGTCTCAAGTATTAGTATCTTAGCTTGCTAACCTAGGTGTGGGGAAACGCTTAAAACAATTTTATTCACTAGTTTTGATTTTGCTCAGTGTTCAGCTAGTGATTGTTTTGATAAGTAAAAAGAGAATAAAAGAAAGTACTTCAACTTTACAGAATGGTGTGAATAAGCATTTTATGAATTCTTGACTGATTTGTTGTCTAAATATCAGTTATAATCAAAGGACTAATTTAAAAGGATTTAGACACTGGTGGGTCAGTTAAGCAGCACAGTGTAGTGAGGGATTAAGTGAACAGAGGTTAAGAAAATGGACTCAGACCAGACTACCTGGAGTCAAATCCAAGCTCAAAAGACTATCTCTTGGCATCTGGAGAAAGATCAGTGTCTCTTCCTCTGCTTCAGTTTTCTGCTCCATAAAACAAAGATGATGACAATAATACCTATTTCATAAATATGTGAGGATTCAATGAATTTAACTTTATAATTTAGAGCAATGCTGTATATTTAAATATGATTATCATTAAGTACATCATTTTTTTTCTTATTTGTCTGTTTTTAGTTTGTGTTTCATTGGATAAATTGTAGATAATGCCAAAGTAAAATTCTTAAATGCTTAAAATGGAATTTTCTGGGACTAGCGGTTGGTGTAATGGCTATATCGCTGAACTCCTATGTAGTCGACCACAGTTCAAGTCCCGGACTTGGTGGCTTAAACTCAGGCCAGGCACCTGTGTGTGCGTGCTCAGGATCCTGAGAGGAGAAGGGAGTGGCGGCAAGGCCATTCCCCCTGGGGGGTGATTCCTTGCTTTCTGGTTCTCTGTCTCTCTCTGTCTTTCTGGTGAGGGCATGTGCTCTATAGCAAAAAACCTCTCAAAAAAAAATGTAATTTTCCAAAACATGGGCTAATGAGCATGGATAAACATTTTATTTAACTCATTCATGGAGGAGTTAGTAAAAAGACCAAGTAGATTTCCAGTAAGACATATAAATTTGGTTGTATTTTCATAAAAAGAAAAGCTAAAACGATATCTGGGTTACATGCCATACAAGCAATTAAAACAGACATTTGTAGTATTTTTTTATCATACAGAAAAATTTCTGTATTTTTTCAATCTTGCTTAAGTCAATATTGAACTTAAGAATTGGAGAATGTCTAGGTCAGTGATAAGTAGTAAAAAATGCAAAATTACATAGTGAGTTACATGATTTTGGGCTAGTCTATTAGACACTGTCAAATTTTTTTTTTTTTGGTGTTACTTCTAGGTTCAGGATAGTTTTTCTTAAAAAAAAAAATTTTATAATTAATTTTTTTTTTTTTTTTTTTTTTTTTTTTTTTTTTTTAAGAATTGTTTTTCCACAATTCTGGAAAACTGCTTACAGAAACTTTTGTACCAGTCTCACTAAAGGCTTGATATAGGATCACTTCTCTCTCTTTAACAAGGGAGAAAAGCCAGTATTGACAAAACTTGAACATAGAATTTTACTGTTCATATTGACAAAAGAGTGCAGGACATTACTGAAACAGTAAAGTGTGACGTTCTGCAAGACTAATTCACATAGGAACGTTCTGTGTTGGGTCTTGAAAACTTATGTTCTGATGTGCACATACCTATGTTCTGGGAGTTGGCTAAAGTTGGGGGTGATTGCCAGGTGCAGACCCTGTTGAAAATGCTGTCTCTCTTCCTCTCTGTCTCTGTTGTGTATCTCATTCATGGAAAACAATAAACTTCAGAAGAAAAAGTTCCATTGCTATTTTTAATGCCAAATGTATTTTACACTGATACTGATATATGTGTACTTTATTTCAAAGCCACTAAATTATGAAGAAAATCATCAAGTGATTCTAGAAATTGGAGTAACAAATGAAGCTCCATTTACCAGAGATATTGCAACAAGAATTATAACTATGAACAGAGCCTTGGTTACAGTTCACGTGAAGGATCAGGATGAAGGGCCTGAATGTGTCCCTGCAGCCCAATATGTGCGGATTAAGGAAAACTCAGAAGTAGGGTTAAAGATCAATGGCTACCAGGCGTATGACCCCGAAACTAGAAACAGCAATGGCTTAAGGTATAAAGACAGATGCAATATAAAGATGCATACTAATAATGTGTTGTAATAATTAATACAGTAACTTATTGTAATACATTTCATGTGGCCCAGCCATTATGGTCCACAAGTAGTGCCACAGCTTGGGAGGCTGGAAGCCACAGGGGAGGCTGTAATCTTTAACTGGGAAGCTGGGGAAGGAGGATAGAGACATGGTGAAACCCTGTAGTAAAAAATAACCTATTTCTGTATTTCTCCCTTGCTTTCTCTCTCTCCTGCTCTCATAAAAGAAAACAAAATTCATGTTATAATGCTAAAGACTATACTTATTTTGTTCACAGGTACAAAATATTGCATGATCCTAAAGGGTGGATCAGCATTGATGAATTTTCAGGTTCAATCACAACTTCCAAAGTCCTGGACAGGGAAGCTATCACTCCTAGGAATGAGTTATATAATATTACAGTCCTGGCGATGGACCAAGGTAATAAATAAATAAATAATAAATAAAACTGGTATCTAATAAAGAAAGGGAGAATGAACTCCAATTGTCCTAGTAAAGAATTAATCTAGTGCTAACTACGTGGAATTCTTAGAAATTACTTTAAAGACGATTCCTCTTTCTGTTAATTGTCTAATAAGGTGAAAGTGCTTGACGGCAAGAAGCCATGTATTATTTATCATTATATCCCCAGCAGGGAAGGACTTTAAAGGCTTACATCTCTCTATGTTAGAGGATAGAGATAAAACATGAATCTTGAACTAGAATAGTCTCACCAGACTTCCAGAACTCTTTTTTGTCATTGGAAATTGAACTGTAAAATAGCTTAGCTGATTATTGGGTTAAAAATAATCCATTCCTCTAATTCTATTCCTTAAATAATCCAGAGTTTCTAAACCTTGGCTTTATATTAAAATGAAAGTATCCACTTGTTGACACTATTTCAAGTAACTAAATCAGGATTTCTGTTTATGGAGTCCAGGCATCATGTATTTTGAACATCTCCCTAGGTGATTTGTGTCTGTATTGGGATTAGGATACATTTTCTGTAGTCACCTTATTGCTCATTCAAATCTGTCCGAGGATCCCAATAAAGCAGAAAGTTTGAAATTCAGATTTTTTTGTTTGTTTGTTTTACAGCCAGGTCACATAGAAAAATGTCTATTTAACACTCTGAGATGTGAGCTAGAACAAATCATAAGAATGCTGTTAGTTTCTTCTTTTGGAAACCTCTCTTTTTCTTTTCCTAAATTTTTAAATTATAAGTATTTTCAGTTAACACAATAATTTATATATTTATGGGATACTATGTGGGTTTTTGGTGCATGAATATAGTGTGTAACCATCAAGTAAGTGCAATTGACTTCTATCACCTCAAACATTTATCATGAGTTTGTGTTGGGAGTCTTTAAAATCTTTTCCTTTAACTATCTTAAATTATATGATACATCATTATTAACTATTGTCAACTGTACTATAAAAAGCTAAAAATGATCGCTCCTAACTGTTGTTTTGTATCTATTAACCAACATCTCTATTCCTCTTCCACCCTAGCCTATCCCTAGCCTATCCAGTCCTAATAATCATTATTTATTCTCTCCTTCTCTCCTTTTTATTTTTTTTTCTGAGAGGTTTTTGCTATAGGGTACATGTGCTTGCTAGAAAGACAGAGAGAGACAGAGAGATAGAAAGTGAGAAATCACCCCCCAGGGGGAATGGCCACGCCACAATCCCTTCTCCATTTTCCTCTTGGGATCTTGGGCACGCATGCACAGGCGCCTGGCATGAGTTTAAGCCACCTGGTCCGGGACTCAAACTGCAGTCGGCTACATGGGAGTCCAGTGACATAGCCATTACGCTAACTGCTGGTCCCTCCTTCTCTCCTTCTATAGGTCAGTTTTTTAAGCTGTATTTCTCTTCCTGAGTCTGGCTTATGAAGCATAACATGATGTCTTCCTAACTTGTCCACATTGCCTTGAATGACAGGATTTCCCTCTTTTTTTTTTTTTTTTTGAGAGGTTTTGCTATAGGGTGCATGTGCTCACCAGACAGACAGAGAGAGACAGAGAGACAGAAGGCGAGAAATCACCCCCCAGGGGGGATGGCCATGCCGCAATCCCTTCTCCTCCACTCTCCCTCAGGGTCTTGGGCAGGCACGTACATGTGCCTGGCGTGAGTTTAAACCACTGGGACCGGGACTCAAACCACTGTTGACTACATGAGAGTCCAGTGACATAGCCATTACGCTAACTGCTGTTCCCAGGATTTCATTCTTTTTAATGGCTAATAGTATTCCACTGCTAATAGTATTCCACTAAATAGTGTATATGTGTGTGTATACTATTTTCTTTCTTTCATTTTTTTTTTAAGGTTTTTGCCACAGGGCATGTGTGCTAGCCAGAAAGAGACAGAAAAAGAGAGAGGGAAAGTGAGAAATCATACTCTAGGTGGGATGGCCATGCCACAATCCCGTCTCCTCCATTCTCCTCTCAAGATTCTGGACATGCACACACATGTGCCCAGTATGATTTTCAAGCTACCAGGTCCAAGAACCACAGTCAGCCATATGGGATTATAATACCTTAACCTCCATACCACCTGTTGGACCCAGACCCTATACCATATTTTCTTTATCCATTTATGTGTTGATGGATACTTTTGTTGATTCTATATCTTGGCTATTGCAAATAGTGCTATAATAAGCATGGGAGTGCAGATAATCTTTTGACATACTGATTTCCTTTTTTGGGGGGTATATATCCAAGAGTGGAATTGCTAGATCACATGATAGTTCTAGGTTTAGTGTTTTGAGGATGTGCTGTACTGTTTTCCATGATGGCTGTACTTTCACCAACACCATGTAAGAGTCTCTTTCCTATATACCTTCTCCAGCACTTGTAATTCTTTGTCTTTTAGATAATAGCCATTTTAACTGAAGTGCAATAACTCATTATAATTTTCAGTTGCATTTCCCTGATGATAGGTAATGTTGAACATTTTTTCATGTTTTTGTTGGCCATTTGTATATCTTCTTTTTTAAAATTTATTTATTTGGGACCAGCAGTTAGTGTAATGGCTATGTCGCTGGACTCCCATGTAGTTGACCGCGATTTGATTCCCGGACCTGGTGACTTAAACTCATTCCAGATGCGTGTGCATGTATGCCCAAGATCCCGAGAGGAGAATGGAGAGGAAGAGATTGTGATGTGGTCATCCCCTCAGTGGGTGATTTCTCGCTTTCTGTCTCTCTGTCTTTCTGGCAAGTGCACATACCCTATAGCAAAAACCTCTCAAAAAATTATCTATTTATTATCATCATAATCTTGTTTATATTACATTGAATCTTGTATATCTTCTTTTGACAAGTAGACATTTTATTATTTGGTTGTAATCCTTGTAAAAATTAACAGTAAGGTGTATCTTATATCAAAAGTAGTGGTTATTTTAGAATATCTGAGGGTTAATTTATCCATCTATTTTCTTATTTACCATTCTTCTAATAAAGTTTATATTTAAAAAAAAACGACATGCAACATGTGAGGGTACTTAGAAAAGCTCATGAGAAATGGAATTAGGGTAGGAGTGTGTTTTTGTGCAAAGCATTTTTAAAATACATAGTTTTTTCATCACACATGTTTTCCATGAAACTTTTTTTTTTCTTTTTTTTGAGAGGTTTTTGCTATAGGGCACGTGCGCTCGCCAGACAGAGAGAGACATAGAGACAGAAAGCGAGAAATCACCCCCCAGGGGGGATGGTCACGCCGCAATCCCTTCTCCTCCATTCTCCTCTCGGGATCTTGGGCACACACGCACACGCGCCCGGCGTGAGATTTAAGCCACCAGGTCCGAGACGCGAACCGCGGTCAACTACGTGGGAGTCCAGCAACATAGCCATTACGCTAACTGCTGGTTCCCTTCCATGAAACTTTTGAAGACCTGCTCAGATACGGAAAGGAATTGATTGCTTTTTCTTATGACACTATAAAAACATTTTAAACCACACTAAGCCTTGTTTTGCTTTCTAGATGGCAGATCATGTACTGGCACACTGGCAGTGAACATTGAAGATGTGAATGATAACCCACCAGAAATACTTCAAGATTATATAGTGATTTGTAAATCAAAGATGGGGTACACTGACATTTCAGCTGTTGATCCCGATGAACCTGCCCATGGAGCTCCGTTTTATTTCAGTTTGGGAAACACCTCTCCAGAAATCAATAAAATTTGGACACTTACCAAAATTAATGGTAATTAATCCAAAGTAATAATTGGTATTCTCTGAGATAATTAAGATTAACTAAAGAATGGATTTACACATTTATATACATAGCAAGTAAGGTAAAATTGATTCCCATTGATGTATTTTAGAAAGCTGAATTAATCTTACATGAACATTGCATGGGGGCTGTGTTATATATTGCATGTAAAGTAAAGGAAATCATGATTTTTTTCTAGAGAGTTTTTTTGTTGTTGTTGTTATAGGGTGTATGTGTTAGCTGGAGAGACAGAGTGAGAGAGAGAAAGAGAGAGAGAGAGAAAACGAGAAATCACCCCCTGTGGGGATGACCAGACTGCAATCCCTTCTTCTCTCTTTTCCTCTTGGGATCTTGAACATGCACACACATGCGCCTGGCATGAGTTTTAAGCTGCCAGGTCCAGGACTTGAACCGTGGTCAACTAAGTGGGAGTCCAGCAAAGTAGTCATTATGCCATCTCCTGGTCCCTGGACATCATGATTTTTATGAAAGCAAAATTTACATTTGCAATGGTGGCAAGGAAAGCTTTGTTAAATTATTAGCTTTTCTTTTTCTTTAAACTAATAGCACTGAGGTGTGGAAAGATCTGATGTGTAGTTTTAATCATGTTGTAAGTAGACTCTGGAAGTGAGGAATCTGGGTGGCCAGGACAAGGGTTCCGTACTATCCTGGACATGAACATGGTGTAATAGGTGAGGGGCCTGCATTGGAGCCTTCAAGGATGGCCTCCTAGGATAATGGTTCCATATTTCATTCTCAATTCACTTTTGTTTAGTTACTATGCTATGCTCTTTCCTGCAGCTGGGTCTTTGTGTATGCTGACTCTTCTGTCTAGAATATTTTCTTTTCTGTTTCTTAGCTTGATAATAATTCATAGTAATTATGAGCATCTACTGTCAGGCACTGTTTCAGACATTGAGAACCTATATATAGACATGAACAAGAGACACATGATCCCAGCTCACATGCTCAACCTCTATGAACTCTTTCTTCTCTTTTCATCTTTTTTTTTTTTTTAATTTGGTTCTTTTACAAAACATTATTGTGGGGGCAGCAGGTGGTATGGTGATGAAGGTGCTAGACGCCTACATCACTGACTGCAGTTTGAGTCCTGGACTTGAACTGTGCTCATGCTGAGCTCATGTGCGGGCATTTCCGGAGACCTGAGGGGAGAATGGAGGAGAGGGAATTGTGGCATGGCCATCTCCCATGAGGGGGTGATTTCTCATTTTCCCTATGTCAAAAACCTTTCAAAAAAATTGTATGCTTTTATGTGATGTTATTTTAGACAGGGGGTTGCTATGTTGCCCACCCTGCATTAGTCAGATTTGCCATCCTTTTGCCTCAGCCTTCAGAATAACTAGAACTACAGGTGTGAACCACCATGCCCAGTTATTTAGAACAGGCCAGGATTGGAGCCTGGGATCCCCATGTGGCCTCAGCCTGACAAACAGCAGTGTCTAAGCCATGCTACCATGACTGGAGGCTTTAGGAAGTATTTCTTGAAGTAGGAGTGACATGGTGACCTTTGCTATCTGCATTATAGTGCATTTTCATATTGTATTATCACCTGATTACCATGCTCTTTAATAGTGATTTTCTTAGAACATTTGTAATCTTTATTATCTAGCACCAAGCCCAGTGTATAATAGATTCTGACTGCTTAATAAATGTTTGCTATTTATTTAATCAATAATTGATTAATAGATATGCATATAAAGAAACATACATGGGGAATAAGTAAATTGGTCTTGTTAGTGTTTAGAAAGTTTTAGTAGAAATACAGAATTTGGGTGGCAAGAAGAGTGGATTCTCGGGGGTCAAGAGCCTCCTGTGCCAGGTGGAAAAGACTGCCCTTCCTAGGTGACCACAGCAGGTTTGCACACAGAATGTACAAGTAAGGCAATGCCTAATCTAGATACATGTCTTAAAAAATGTGACACTGGTAATAGAAGGTGAGTTAGAAGAGGGAAGAGCTGAGCGGCAATGAAAATCAGAGCTGTCACACTACTGTGCCTAAGTAAGGGGTGACTGTGTCTCTGGCTGTGGTCTTGAGGGATGAGAGGGACTCAAAGGCTTTAACCTTGAACATAAGTCTGTCCTGAAGATCCCAGATAACCTAGGTAGCAATTCACATTTCTCTGGGAAACCTTGAGGTGTGAGATGCAGTCGAAATCTTTGAAATTCTTACAGCTATAATAGTGGATTTAATGAAGGCTTAGAAACGACAGATTACCCCCAGGATGTGCATTGTACTGCTTTTTCATGTCACTTAGTCAATTATAAAACTCAAGGAAGTTGAACTTTGACTGAAGGTTTGTGGAGTTTTAGTTCAGTTGATAATAAAGCCATTAAAATAAAGTCTTATGTTAAGACTTTCTGGGAAAACTGACCATTACAGTTGACAATAATGAGTTGTTATGCTCTATATGTGTGTGTGTGTGTGTGTGCTTATATATGTGTGTATGTGTGTGTGTGTGTGCTTATATATGTGTGTATGTATGTGTAAGCCTTATAACTAGCCTGAATGACATTAATTAACTTTTTAGCATTGCAATTACTTCCAAATGTAAGACGTTAATTATAAAGGATCTAATGTGCTTTGAAAAATGACCTTATCCATAAGGATAATGGACACTTACCAGAAGGTAACTAGATAAGAGAATGTGAACCTAAGACATCCTGCGTGCTTACCTGTAGGTGTTAAGTCTTTGTGAGTGGTACTGGTACTAAAGAAAACTGGTACTGAAGAAAAATGATTAAACTGTATGTTAAGAGCCAATCTGTCATTGATTATTCTTTGGCTTATACAGATAAGGGGATATTAAATATTACAGAAATGCTACTGGGCCACTCTAGTGCCTTATTGTTTCTTTAGAGCTCTCTTCTGAAGGATTACAGGGACAACACTTATAAAGTAATATTATATTCACAAGGTTAAACATAGTCCTCCATTTTTATTCTTATGTGGCAGGGGTTCTTGAGAATAATGCCTTTAAAAATAAATGTGTTCAGGGGCTGGATGGTAATGTAGCAGTCAAATTTGATGCTCTGCAAGGCATAGCCACATGGAAAACAGCTGGTTTACATTTGGAGACCTGAGTACACCATACACATGCATGCTTGTGATCTGGGTGCCTAAAGCTGCGAGTGGATTGTGGTGTCAGGACCCTGTGTTGTATTTCTCTCTCTCTCTCTCTCATGGAATAAATACACACATTTTAAAACAAAATGAAAAACAAATGTGGTGAAACAGATGCTAAGTAAAAAATAAATGATCATTACAAAATAAAATTATTTTCTCTTTTTCAGATACAGCTACCCGTCTTTCATACCAGAAAAATGCTGTATTTCAAGAATATGCCATTCCTATTACTGTAAAAGACAGAGCAGGTCAACAGGCAACAAAAAATTTGAGAGTTAACTTGTGTGACTGTACTCACCCGAGTCAGTGTCGTCAGACTATGAGGAGTGCAGGAGCAACACTTGGAAAATGGGCAATCCTTGCGATACTGCTGGGGATAGCACTACTGTTTTGTAAGTACCTTCACTTGAAGTTAAAGTATATAATGAAAGATCTGAACCCAGGAAAGGTTCTTTGAAAGTAAACTTGTCCAAGCAGCCAGCAAGAGTGAATTCCCTCTACGAGATCCTTTTGTGTTAGATCTGAGTTCTGTCTTATTATTTTCTGTAAAAAGGATTATAAATCTTCTTGGGATAAAATATTTTTTTTACTTAGGTCAAATTATTGATAAATCTTTAGATCGTACCATATCTGCCAGTGTCCTTTTTCTTGGTCTTAGTGCTAACTCCTCTAGGGCTAAATAGAACAATCTAAAATTTCTACCATATGAAAATCCACTGAAAGTCACTTCCTATTTTTTATTATTATTATTTTATACATGAAATCATTGTACATAACTCCAACTTGTTAAATGAATTATCCAACATGAATAGACTTTACACCCGTCTAGCTGAAGAAACCATACATGTTATCATCAACACAGTCTTCCATTTCTGGGTCCCCTAAATATCTTCCCTCTCTATTTCCTCCTTGATCCCTTTCCTCTCACTCTCTTCCATCTCCCATCCTCTTCCCATCCTCTTCCCACACTATCTCCTGTGACTTTCACTGGATGTTCAGTTCATAGCAATGATTCTTCTTGGTATATCTTGCTAGTTTTGAATCCTGCTAGCGTCCTTCTTGCCAGCTGTTTAGTTCCCAATGGTACCATATTTTTTTCCCTTTGTTTTTACTTCCATCCAGTCCTCCAGCCAAGATTAGCTTTGTTCTGTGATTGGAGTGGTGGTTAAGAGTAAGAGCATGGAACAGACTGGCTGACTCCGTACCTCAGCTTTAACACTTGCAAGTCATGTGACCTAGGGCAAGTTATTTAACTGTGTCTATAAAAGGAATAATTACAGTAGATTATTGTATAGATAACACTGAGAATAAATTGAGATAATGCATATGGAGAGCTTAGAAGAGTGGTGTATGGTACATGTCTAATAAGTGTTTATTATTTTTCATTAACTCAGCAAAACAAATTTTAAGCTATTTATGTGCTAGAAACTGTCCCAGGTTCTTGGAATTCAAAAATGGAAAAAGAGAAAACCCTAAACAATCTGCCTGTCAACAATAAAAGAATAAACAAATGAAATTCTATGGAAGAAAACAATAGAGCAAAATAATTCAAATATGGATGCCATAGACTTTGTGACTATAATTTTTAATAGATGGATAGGATAGGTCAAGCCTAACTAAGGTAGTCTTTGATGATTTTGGAAGACATGGAAGAGTTAGCCTTGGATACCTAGAGGAAAAGCTGTGAGTCAGCGAGGAAAGTCAGTGCAAGGGCCTTACAGGGAAAGGGTGTCTGGAGAAATCAGCTGGCAGGATCAAGGAGTGGCTAGGGAGTATTGAGGGAAGAGGATTAGGAAACCAGAAAGACAGCACGTGGTCACATAGCATAGGCAAGTGTTGGCACTCTTGTCCTGTAAAGGATCAGATAATGTATATTTTAAGATACTAAAGATAATAAGGATTGGAGTAATACAGGGGTGGGTAATAGAGAGAGGGGGGAAGGGGAACAGGTGAGAAAAAAAAAAACCCATACATTTAATTGATACAAAAATGAAAAGTTATTTACTGATGATAATGTATATGGTAATATTTTTGTCTTGACTGATAAGCACTGTATTCCTGATGGAAAAAGCAATGTTGTACATTGTAAAGACATAGTGATTAAGAGTAAATTTTAAAAGTTAACAAATTAGAAAAAGATAATTAATTCATTTTTCAAAAATCTGAAGACCATGGGTTTCTGTTGTAACCAGTCAAATTTGCCCTTACCAAGAAAGCAGCCTCAGAAAATATGTAAATGATCTGCATAGCTGTGTTCTAACAGAATATTATATGTGGATAGTAATATCCGAAGTTTGTGTAATTTTCTTTTTTTTAAATAATTATTTATTTTATTTTATTTATTCATTCATTCATTTTTAAAAATTTTACCAGTGAGAGAAAGAGGTTGAGAGTGAGAGAGAGAGGAAGCAAGAAAGCAAGCCACCAGATTCAGGACTCAAATCCTGGTCGGCCATGTGGGAGTGTCCAGCGCCTTAACTGCCACGCCACCTGCTGGTCCCAGAAGTTTGTGTAATTTTCACCTATTATGAATTATTACTCTTGTTTTTTAAAAAACTTTTAAAAATATAAGACCTTCGTTTTTACATACAAAAATATGTGGTGGGCTTGATTTGGAGTCCATAGCTTGCCAATCCCGGTACCAGTTCTCATAGACCATCATAAGAAATTGTTGCTGTTATTATTATTGGCTTTATTATCATGAGTTTTAAAGTTCCCACAATTATATTGTAGAATAAAAATTCTGAATAGACAAGATACAAAGTGGGTTAATTAAGATATTTGGAGATAAATATATTATGGGAAAAAGTCTGTCTTGTCATGTTTTCATATAGAAAGATCATTCTTTTAGAAATCAGTAAACCTCTTTACTGTCTTTATCTTAAATAATTTCAGTGTTTTTTTTTTAATACATACCAGAAAGTATGTATACTCACCAAAGAGAGTGAGAAAAAGAGAAAGCATACCCTAATGAAGTATGATCATGCCACTATCCTTTTTCCTCCATCCCATCAAGATCGTGGGCATTTATAGGCTCTGTGTGTGTTTTGCATTGCTGAGGCTGGAATCTGATCTGCAGTCAGTCATGTAGGATCCAGTATCTTACACACAGCACTTAACCATTGCACTGTGGGGCCAGCCCAATGATATTTTTTAAAATGTACTATTTAACTCATGATTCTAAATACTTGAATATGATGAACTGAATTCAACCTCTTAATTAGAAAGAGGAAAACTCAAAATACACACAGGTCATTTCAAATTTTAAACTCTGAGCTAAACTGTGGTCTGTTAATTTAAAAAGGCTAAGATAATTCATGGAAAACCATGTTTAACAGTTATTTTCTTCCTTTGACCCTTAGGTCATAAGAAATAAAGGATGACTATTTTCTTTTATGTAAGTTAATTACTTTTGTTTGTAATTCAGCTGTATTGCTAACCTTGGTATGTGGATTTGTTGCTGCTGGAAAAGGAAAACGTTTTCCAGAAGATTTAGCACAGCAAAACTTAATTATATCAAACACAGAAGCACCTGGAGATGACAGAGTGGTAAGTAATCTTTTCAATTTTTTAAAGTTTTTACCATAGGGCACGTGCACTCACTGGAGGGAGACAATGAGAGGGATGGTATAAAATCATCCCCCAAGGGGAATGGGCACACCACAATCCCTTCTCCTTCATTCTCCTCTTGAAATTTTGGTCATGCATGCATCTGTGCCCAGTGTGATTTTTCAAGTTGCCAGGTCTGAGATTTGAACCATGATTGGCTGTGTGGGAGTCAAATGCCTAAACTACCATGCTACTTATTGATCCCATAAATAATAATTTTTTATGAATGTAAGGGGACTTCAAAAAGTTCCTGAAAAAATAAAATTGAAGTATGAGTTTATTGTGGTGCAAAATTTTTGAAATTTACATATATATATATAATTTTTGGCCACTTCTAATGGAGAAAGAAACTTGCTAAAAGTTCTGAACGTAACTAGAAAAATATTAAAGAAATACAAATTTTTAAAAAGGGGGGTTAGATACAGCAGGTGGAGTGCTGGTTAAGGACTGAACTCCCATATGGCCGCGCTCCAGACTTGGAGACTTGTTTTCTCACTTTTCTTCTCTTTCTGGTGAATTAAAAAGAATAATAAATGAAATAAATTACATATTTTTTTTCAAAAAGGGGGGATGGGTAGAATATTACTGCCACTCTCTTTTCTGACATACTTTTCAGATCTCTATGGCCTTGTTTTCTGGAGAGAATGTTTTAAAAGAACTTATTAATAAAAAATACCTTCTTTTCTCATAAAATTTTATTTTATTATTTACTTGAAATAGAAGTTTTTGTCTTACGGTGAGTGTGCTTGCCGGAGAGAGAGAAACAGAGACAGTGAGAGGGAAAATGAGAAATCGCCCACCAGGGGGAAGGCCACACAGCAATCCCTTCTCCATTCTCCTCCTGGAATCTTGGGCATGCATGCACACATGCCTGGTGTATCAGATCACCAGATCTGGGACTTGAACTTTGGTCAGCCATAAAGTCCAGTGATGTAACAGCTATGCCATCTGCTGGCCCCTCAAAAAGATTTTAATTTATTTACTGGATAAAGAATCTTCTTTTTTGGGAGAGAGAAATAAGAACATGACAATAAACTAATATGATAAAGCACTGTTTATGTTCAAAGATAATTATAATTCTCTGAGCACACGCATGTGATTTGGATCAACCAGAAAGGCCTAGTGAATGAGTTACAGCTTACTCTGTAACTTAAAAGATAAGGAAATCTTGGAAGTGAAGAGGTGGTGGCTATTACTAAAGAGAAAAAAGCCTAAACAATAAAAAGGGAGATGACAGCGTTTAGAGCCTGTTCAATAAATGCTAAGTAAGTTGGCTCAAGACGGGATCAATCATATGTTGGACTAGAGGCTTGAAGCTTAAGCTAGGCATCTGGGGAGAGGATGTAAGAAAGAAGGGGGAGAGGGGACTTGCATATTCCACCCTGAGGATACCGCATTTATTCTCTTGGTAAGGGAGAGCCAATTGAAGCTATTCTGCAACAGTCGTAGAGGGATCAATGAACATGGGAGAACATCAGGGTTAGAGAAGATGGAGCTGAGGATATTTTCACAGTTTAACTGTGTGCTAACTCTACTAGAATGATGGTAATTAGAATGTTCAGATGGGGATGAATATAAAATAAAAGTATAGATGATAAGGCTGTTGACTGCTTGAATTTGAGGAACAATAAAAAAGTGGAGTCTGAATGGCAGAGGCTATCAACAGGGGCAGTGACATACCTCACAGTGAAGATGCCTTCCTTTCTTGGCTACTATTTCTCTTTTTCAGTTCCTTCCCGCCATCCTGCAAAATCATACCTCATCCATGCTTGACAGGTCTACATGTAGAATTTTGTGATTACTTCTACACTCAGAAAATACATTTGGTTTCTTGATACTTCTTGATTCACAGTACTTTCTTATTTTACATCTAAGGATAGAATGAATGAACTTCAGTTACTATTTTTCTTGGCCATGTGATGCTAGAAGTGCTGGTATTGATTATAGTCCCTACAGTTCCCTGTCCTCTGATGAAAACACTTTTAAAAAGGACTAGAATTATTAGATTCGACAACAACATAATTTTAGGCACATTTTCATAAACTATCATGATGTTATGGTGAATATATAAACTCAATAAAATGAGTGAAGATGATTATTTTTGATTTGGATCTCAGTTTTAGTTGAAGGCACTCAGATGGCGTTATGCGGTTGGGTGCAGTACTGGAAAAGTAAATCTGTAAATTATAGACTTAGATAAGGAGTAGTTGACAGCCTGTGAGAACAGACTCTGAGGGATGCACATGGAAGTGGAGAGGAAAGAACAGAGGATAAAGACAGTCTGAACCTAAGACAGGCTCAGCATCAATTTTAGTTTATTTTCAATTCTCCTTTTGCTAGCTTAGAAATATGATCTCTGAACATGTGTTGATTAAAACAAAATTATATCATCAGAGAGACTTAATAATCATGTATATGTATTGTCTATGATAGAATTTTACTGTATAACAAGCTAAGTAAAAGATACAGGGCAGCACTGCCACCATATGGCTGTTTTTCAATTCTCTTTTCCTGTATGTTTTTTCATAGGTGATGAGATGGTATATATGGCTTTCATAGGTATGTTTCAGGTTCAGTAAATCAACTGATTTTGAAATGTGGAAGTCCAGCAACATAACTGCTGCGCCATCTGTTGGCCCCCAGATCTGAGATTTTCAAAAGGAGAAGCATTTTTGTTAAGGTGGCTAGGTGTCTCAAGGTCAGGGGCCCCTCCTCCTGGGAGCCAAGAGGATGTCTCTTAAAGTAGAAGAGAATGCTACCTACCGTTCCCTAAATTAATCCAGCTTCAGAGACAGTCTATAAGTGACAAATGCTCCTCACCCCCGAGCAATGAATGTTCCGTGTGCTAACAACACAGAAAAAAAAAAAAAAAAAGCTAAAACTGAATTCTACATCTTTAAAAAACTTGATAAAAAGTAGTATTTCAAACATTTCAAACTGTATGGTCATCAGAAATACAGTGATCAAAACCGCACACACTTCCTTTGGCATCGCTAGCATCTTCAGCTTTCTGTACCTGGTCTGTTTTCACATCTCCATTTTCTGCAGGGTTCATTCCCATTCATTCCAGCTTCAGCTTTTCCCTTTCCAGGCTTCTTTCCCTTCCTTGCAGGGGTTTTCTTAGGCTTGGAATCTGGCTTTGGAGGAGCCGTTTCACAGACAACCTTGCAGACCTTCTCTATGGTTCGTCCTTCACCTTGGCTTTATTTCCAGCATCCCTTCAGCCTTTCTTTGGGGCATGGTGAAGACATCCTGCCTCGACTGTATTGCCCTTATCCACCCATTTTAACTTGATTTTCTTGTAGTTCTATTCTTAGTCCTTTTTTCATTTAGTCTATAATTATCTCCTCTATTCGCATGGCTTCAACCATCACCGATTTGGTGGATTCCCAGCACTGGATTTCTAGCTCAGATCTCTACCTGAGCTCCAAATGCATGTAGTTTATATTTATTTTGGATGTTTTATATATTTATTGTGTCCAAGTTTGTCATGTCCAAAATTGGATTGCTCACCCTCCTCTTGCCCATAAGCACATCTTTCTGTGTACTTGCTCAAGTAGAAAACAAAGCAATTATTCTTGCCTCTTTTTTTTTTTTGCTACCTCATCCATCTAGCTACTAGCAGACTCTCTCTATGAAGTCCATCCACTTATTTCAATGATCACTGCTTCTACCCTAACTTAGGTTCTTATTTTTTTCACCTAGAATAATCTGTGATCCCATCCAATCACTATGACATTAAATTTATCTCTTTCTTGTCTTCCACATGATCACCTTGAATGTTTTTAAATGTATTTCTCTTCATAATAAGTTAAAATGCTTCACTGGGTCCCCATCATTTTTATGATAAAGAGCAAATTTTTTAGCATGGCATATAGGTCTTTATATCCTGTGGCCTTTTATAACCTCTCTAGCTTTCTCCCTCTCTGTCTCTCTCTCACCTCTGTATGGTAGCCATTCACAACCAGCTGAAGTTGGAAACCTCTGAAGAATCTCATCTGCTTTTTGCCTTTAGACCTTCCTTCAGGTGTTGCACTCCTCCCACCACTGCTGCTGGTCTTTAGTCCCTTGTTCAGACTTTTCTGACTTTGAATTTAATGTTGTAACTCCGTGCCTTATAGCTTCTCTACATGCCTACATAGTAGAGTAATCCCAACTTTAGGGGAATTACTCATTTTTATGCCTACATGGAATAAGAGTTTTTTGGAGCCATCAAAGAACCATGTCTATCTTCACACTCT